GTGCTTAACTTCAAACAAAACAAAAACAAAAACAAAAAATATATATATTTTAACTGTGTCACTTTCCTGATAAGTACCTTCTTTGTATCACACTTGCATAAAAATTGTAAGAGTTGCAAACATAACTGTGAAGTTCTGAATAACAGAATATATAAAATTTATCGGCAATGATATCAAAAATAAGATATTTCATTTTTTCTTTAGACACCACACACCTTTCCAGAAAGATATAGATGAGGGACTAGACTCGGACACGCGGGAACCTGACGTAATCCCTGCATTAGCTGTTGACTCTCAGGGTTTGTTCTGTTTTCTTCATACATGATTAGAGGAATAGACAACTTTAAATATGGCTAGACATAATAATTGCACTTTCAATCATATATTTGTTATCTGTTGTACCGTTATAAAACACCTTAATACTGTCGCCCTTGTTTTCAACATTTTTCGTTATTATCTTGCTTACAACTCAAACTACTGGTATAAAAATGTTATACTCCATATCTTTCTGGCAAATAATTTAACGGTTTGTTAAAGATCACGTTAAACTGTTACTGTTAATTGTGATACTTATATAACGTATAATATATATATTTCATGACATAAAATCTGCAAATTAACGAAACAATTGCTATACGATTTTACATTGTGTCTGTTCCTGGTGCTCCTGCGATGCATAATACGAAGATCGGAACCGGAATCGTGTAACGTTGTGGGAACCGGAATCGTGTAACATTAGATCGAAAGTGACATATCAATTTCTTCGCTCATTAAACGACAACTGTGTAGATAACACTATGTTTCTGTTGTGAAATTACAAATATGGAAATCCTACATTATATACATAGAAGCTAAATATTAAAAGACAAGATTCCAAACGGAAGATAATTTGAACGAGCTCATTTTGTAGTTGCCTTCAAATACGTGGACTGTTCATATTGGTAGATTTCTCTACAAAATACACCATCTGTCTTAGTATGCAAAATATACTGCTGATTGAGTACTTAAGATACAGAGACAATTAATACCACAGTTAGGATATAAAACAATAGGTGTGACAATGAGCTAGGATTTTCCCCACTTTCAAAAGGGTGTGATATTGAGGTTTTTACGTACAAAGAATGGTGGTTATTATAAACTCTAGCTACCAAACAGTGGTGACTGGTTGTGTGTAAAGACGATCGGATAGGTTCGTAAAGTGAAAGACACATCAGACACATCTTGTATTTTTCGACATTGCAAGCCTTTATAGATGGTATATTGACATGGAAAAGATTATAGTGGCAGGAGTTTGGACCGTTAATAGATGGTATATTGACATGGAAAAGATTATAGTGGCAGGAGTTTGGACCGTTAATAGATGGTATATTGACATGGAAAACATTATAGTGAATCTATTAACGGTCCAAACTCCTGGGTATATTGACTTGGAAAAGATTGAAGTGATAGGAGTTTGGACTGTTAATAGATGGTATATTGACATGGAAAAGATTGTAGTGGCAGAAGTTCGGACCGTTAATTCCTATAGAAAACTGAATAACATCTAAACCACACTTAAACGTTGACACAATAATATCAACCTCATTATATTGCATGTTGATCCACCCTGATGCAGAAGGATCTAAACCATACTTAAACGTTGATACAATAATATCAACCTCATTATATTGCATGTTGAGCCACTCTGATGCAGAAGGGCTCTTCGAAGATGATAATATATGTTACGTATTACAATTTCGAATGGATTGAAACCGAGCAAAATGATAATTTAAATTTAGTAGTTAAATATATGCCGATATATATCAAATTTATGATATTTGTCAACAAGATTGATACATACAGCTTTCTTTTTTTAATACGAATATATTTTAATACACAAACAATAATATAATTTACAGTAACAGTTATTACAAATAGTTATTACAAACAATGATTTATATACAAAAGTTTTACAAACTTACAAGCAAAATAAAGTCTTTTTATAGTCTGGAACTTCCTTGATATCTTATGGAGGGTTCACGATGAACAAGTTAATTTTGAGTTGATGAAGGTACAATTCACTTGATAGGGAGCTAGCTAGCTCTGTAGTTCTCACTGATCACACACCGATATTTTTTCCTACCGGTGACGTTAGGTAATGTTTTCGTAAAAGTACTAATGTTCGATGTGAATCCACTGAAGTTAAATGGTTTGTAACGTTCAAAATTTATAAACGTTCCTGGTCAGATATCTTAAGTTTCCGATTAACAAGCGTTGTAACAAT